TATAACATTGAAATTTACCGGTCGTTGTTGTGTTGCGGCTGCCTGCTGGTCGATTGGCGGCTGCTAGTCACCGGAACGGTCGACGCTGCTATAGTCTGTAGATGACTAGACGTGGGAAGTGGGAACGGTAATTTTTGCCTTTTAGGAAGTGGGTTTGTAAAGTTGAAATGTTTGAAAAGACAAACTTTTGTTTTTAATTTTAAATTATAATATTTATTTTTTAATATTAATAATTAATATAATATTAATATATATTATAATATAATATATTTCGGTAAACCGAAAAACCGAAATACCGAATTACACAAAAATCACATACCGAAAACCGAACCGAAATACCGAAAAATACAAAACCATAAACCGAATACCGAACCGAAAACCGAAATACCGAAACCGAATTACCAAAATAATTCGGTTCGGTTCGGTTTTTCGGTTTTTCGGTGTTTATGCCCACCCCTACAATGCATACCCCTAGCGAGGGGTGTACATAGGTCGGTTTGGTTTGGTTTTTCATTAAAAAAAGGGAAAATTGTATATAATAACAAACTATTAATTTAAATTAAATGTTATAAATATACTTTGATTTAATTGTACCCTATAACAAACTATTGTTATTTTCGCCACTCTCCCTGGTGGAATCTCGCTCACCTCTCTTGCTTTTATGCAAACACAAATGTATAAAATGTGTTTGTGTTTGTATAAAGCGAGAGAAAATTGTATATATACATATATTTTCGTTCCCCTCTCACAGATCTCGCTTGCCACTCTCCCAAATCACGCTTATACAAACAGAAACGAAATGTATAAATTGCGTCTTCTGTTGTATAAAGTGAGAGAAAATTGTATATACACATGCAAATACATATAATCTTCGTCATATATACACTTATAATTATACAATACCAAATATTTCTCTGCCCAATTTTCTTTTGCCTTTCTCTCTTTCTCGTTTTATACATGAACAGATTATACAATTGATCTTTTGTATACAACTACTTTTTTTTTGTATATGTATAGCGAATTATATAACTGCCTTCTTTGTATATGTATATCGAATTATACAACTGTTTTTTTGTATATGTATAGCGAATTATACATATATATGTTTGCTATGGAGCGCAATTATACAAACATTGCTATAACATACAAATATGAATTTTGTATTTTCTATATGTGAAAGTTGCTCATAACCAATTATATCAGTTTATTAAATCTAAAAACCAAATCAAACCACAAAAAATTGGTTTTTTCGGTTTCGATTTCAGTTGATTCTTCCGGTTTTTTCAGTTTTTTACAAATATACGGTATTTGAAAAAGAGATCAAATATATTTTCACTTACCTGTGTGATAAGCTAAACTTAAAAAATGTTAAATGAATAGAAATTTTCAAAAAGACGGTAAAATTCACATGAGTACAAAATATTTTTTTTGAAATATCAATGTTCTTTATATTAAATTAATAGGATTAAAGGCTAGAGGCAAACTGAATACAAAACAAAATATTTATAAAGTAAATTGTTAACTTCAAATTTGATAAACTATAACAATATAATTGTAACTTTGGATCTTAATACAAAATACAATATTTACAAATTTTACAAGTCCAAATTTGAAATAAAATATATAAACATTGAAAACTATAAACTAATTAAAAATATATTAACAAAGTAGATTATAAATAATATTTTTTATCTATAAATAAAATAAAAAAATAAAAAATATATATATATATATTATGTCGGTTTGGTTTGACTTTTTTTCTTTAAATACCAAACCAAACCAAGAGTGGTCAGTTTGTTTTTTCAACCACCAAGCCAAACCACAAATCATTTTTTGTTTTGTTTGATTTGGTTCGTCGATTTAGTTTGACTTGTACAACCCTACCCCTAGATATGAACAAGTTTAGTATGAGATAATATTTGAGAAAGTCATTATTTCTTCACCAATTCTTCTTTTAGAAAGTCATTCATTTTTAATTTTTAATTCAAAGTTATTCAATTTTGAGTGTTTTATTTAAAAAGTCATTCAATTTGTTTAATTAATTTTTAAAAAAAGTTTTTTGACATGAATTTTTTTCATTTAAAATAAAAAATTTAAGAAATAAAATAATATTTTGACTTTTAAAAAAAATATTATTTGTACCTACAAATTTTAAAAACTACTAAAAATACTCATGAGTTTGTATTATTATTTTATAATTAACACACTTAATATGAATCTGCAAAAAAAAAAAGAAAATAAAAGGAAAAAATCGTCGATTTGAATACGAAAAATTATTATCACTACTTGTAGTTAGAAGTGAATTTGGAGAGCAAGTTCAGATAAAATATTTATATAATTGTATAATTTTTGTACAAAGAATTAGGACTGAAATTTAATCTCATTTTAAAAAAGATGAGTGTTTTTATAGAATAAATTTTTTGGATAATTTCAAAATTTTTAAAAATTCTCAAATAATAGTATTTGGCCCCAATACTATTTGTTTAGTATTTAAAAATTTGAGATGCTTGCCGAAAATATTTGTCAAATAATGACATTATATGGCCAAACACTAGTTTTCAAATAATTTAGGGAATATTTGTTGCCAAACGGCACATAGGTCAACCTACAATAGATTTCATTTCAAGAAATTTTAATAAAAATATCAATTAAATAGGTTAAATGATTTATAAGTAAAATATTAATAGTTAAGCGACTTTTGGGGTAAAAATTAAAATTGAGTCTTTTAAAAGGAAAACTTGAGTGACTATTCAGATATTATCTCTTTAAATATTTTCAATAATCTCTATCAAGTATTTATTCAACATAAATTTTGATTAAAAACTTAATGGTTGAAGCTTCATTTTATGTATAGGTCTTGGGTTCAACTTCATTTGCAGCCCTATTTATTGATTAGTTTGCTAAATCATTTCAAATAATTTTTAAATGATATAAATCAGTGTGATTAGTGTAATTTATAGTACTTTTTATATAATTTTCAAATAATATAAATCAATTTTACTCTTTTTAATAATATCACATGCATATTTCATTCTTAAAAGTTATAGTCTTTGAGTTTCTTATCTCACTTCTAATATGTTTTGTAGATAAAATATCATTAATGGAGTAATTAGCATTTTCAGAAATTAAGTGAAAAACTGAATAACCAAGTTTGAAAGAAATGTTATTCAAAGTACCTAAAGCTTAAAAGGAGAAAATGAGGGACTGGATAGCAACATTTTATTAGTATATTTTATACTTTACGATAAAAAGATTTTAAAGTAGTACGATGAAACAACATTATTGGTTACTTTTTATTTAACCACTTTATTGGTGGGTGAAGTCAAGAAATGTACTGTTCAGAATATCAAAGTATTTATTTATTTCTTAAATTTCTTGAAAAAGGAAAATAATACATATCTGAATTAGCTTACTCGTGAAGTAAGTCATCTTGATTGATACAGTCTGAGGGAATATGAAAAGCTATAATGAAATAGACATATTTTTGTCTTTTTCCTTGATCTACTTTTCATATTGGAACACAAATTTCACGCAAGTCCTATAGTTTAGTAACAATACAGTGTTGCATATAATAAAATATTTATTAATTCGCGATGGGACCCAAACTGCCTTACACATTATTGGTTCCGTACAACTTCCCAAAGCAAAAAAGTTGCTAGGTCGTGTTTGGTATGAAAGAAGACACTCTCTTTAAGAAAGTAATTTATTTAACTTATGTTTGATATACATGTAAAAAAATAGTAGTTTAAAATTATTTATATAGAATTTAGATAAATATTAGTAGCATAAAAGATGCGGGGTATGAAATGATTGGGATGGGGGCTACAATGGGTGGATGTAAAATGAGGTAGATTAAAAGATCTGAAGGACATAATCAATGTGAAATATTACATGTAAATCTAATTTTAAAATAAATTAATCAATAAAACATAATCATACTGAACACACCCTATATCTATTTGTTTTTCTATTAAGGTCAAGGTTTAGTACAATTCTATCTAGCAAAAGCTAGTGGATTACCCCATTAACTTTTCTGTTGGATTAGTGCTTTTCCTAATTATTCCTTTGATTACTTTGGTGCTAAGAAACATAGTCTTTCAGCATCAGGATGTGGATGATTCAGATCAAGAACTTTATATTATATTTATTTATTTATTTATTGCATGTAATTTAAGTTGAATTTTTTTGAACCATCTCAATTATCTTGATTTTTTTTTCTGTCTTAATTATTTTCATTCGTCCTTTGTTGCATTTATTTTAGGATTTGTAGGCATTTTTGCCCCTACTATTTGTCAACTTTGGTCTACGAAAACCATATTTACATGGACCCAACTGCTAAAGACTCTTACAGCAAGCTTTACAATATTTGATAAATGGATTCGGCTCCTCTCCATTTCCTCGTCTCTATTTTTCTCAAGTTCTAGCTTTGATTAATGACATATGACATAAGTTAGATATAATGACTAAGATTTAATTAATTAAAATATATTTCTAATCATGATTTAGATGATAAATATATTATTATATCAATTAAAAATAGTCCTAAAATATATCAATATTTGAAGTCTAATTAAGTAAACAAATGCAAGTTTGTATAGATCGAACTTCAACAGCTAAAGATATATGTACCTAGATATGCTCGGATTCAAAGTTTAAAGTTTATGAAATTTCACTGAATATACTTTTGTCGATTAAACAACTTCAAGCTAATATACTACAATAGATATAATGCGTAAACACATTTTTTAACTTGACTTCAATTAACTTAAATTTATATAAAGTTAAATAAGTAGATATATATAATTCGCGTGAAATACACTCATTGGTAGTATGACATGAATTCGTAGGACATTGATAACAATTGAGATCAAGTTAAAGAAGACGTTTACGTACTATAATACTATTTTCCAGCAGAATTGCGAGAAGAAGTGCCTCCTCTGCCTCTGCCTCCGCCTCTGCCTCTGTTATTGTTTCCCCTTCCTCTTCCTCTTCCTCCGGTAGATCCATTTTTTTTATTTCCCGGACCTGGAGTCGCCTTTGTTGGTGTTCCTGAAGAACGACTACCAGACCAGGGTGCAACCGCATTCCAAAATTCGCGTGCTATTGAAGCTACAGTTGTTACTGTACTTGCTATATCATGGATCATCTCCACAGTACTCTTACCAGTATTACTATTATTATTATTTTCACCAGTTACATCAGGAGGCGGAGTTGATGTTGTTTTCTCGTATTCGTAAAGCATGGAACAAGCCTCTGAGAAATTTGGGAGAGGTAACTGTGAGGAGATTGTGTTTTTGAGGAGCAAGTATTGAGAAGGAGGCAAACCAGCAAGAAGTTGCAAAACCAAATCTGGATCTGAAATTGGATTGCCGATTGCTGTTAGAGAATTAGCTGTGGATTTCAACTTTTTGACATATGAATCTATGGTTTCGAGATCCCCTTTTCTGGTGCCGTGAAATTGCATTTTCAGTTGTTGAGCTATAATTATCGTTTCATCTTTTGAATTTGAAGAACAAGTAGCAGTTTTCTCTGATGGAACACTCATATTTTTTGGTTCTCAGTACTTTTGAGTGAACTTTCTCTGCCTATTGTTCTAATTGGTATTGTGGATGGGGTAATAAGGGGAAGTATTTTTTAAATATATAAAGTTTATGAAAGTCTTTCTTTAATGTTTAAATTTGGTCTCAGGTTAAATTTAATAATTGACAAGTATGAAATATAAAATAAGATAAAAGGGGTAAATATACTTATCAATTTTATGATTTAGGATCGATATATTTTCGTTAAAAATATAGTGCATATATATCCTTAATGTCTAACAAATGGGGTTTATATATATTTTTTCATCGTCTAACAAATGATGCATATTTATTTTCTACATTAATAGACTGAATTAAGAAAAATATCTTAAGGCTGGTTTTTAAATTTCCAAAATGTCATTTGGCTTAAAAATATTATCTCATCCATTTTTTACGCATCCAGACCTGACCCAATTAAAAAAAGAAACACACAATTCTTCATCTATTCAGATCTGATTCAAAATTATTTTATGATTGAATAGAAGAGGAATTGACTAAAAAGGATTGTGAGTTACATAAATTGGGATGAAGTAAGTTTTTTGTGCCGTGTGGCATATTAGGGATAAATAGTTTCAAAAATTCATATTTAAGGGGATAATTAAGATTTGTTATAATTTAGGGGGTAAGTAGTGTCAAAAATCAATGTTCGAAGAAGTAATTAAGCTTTTTTGTAGTTTAGATATGCATTTAATAAATTCTATTGTATCGTAGTGTTTAAATCCATCATTAGGTAACGATGAAAAGGCCCATTTTATGTAACAATCAATTTCGTGTGATCGCGTTGTTTTCTTAATATTTTCTTCTCATTTTGTCTTTATTTATTATTTAATAATCATATTTCATTTTTTATCCTACATTTTCATAGTAGCTCTACCCCGTACCCTACTTTTCTTGTTAGGTTTATCATTTAAATAATGAATGTGTGACATTATGTAACAACGGAGAACAATACAATCTATCCAAACATTATATTCATTAAAACAATACAATACAATACCATACAATACAATACAATACAACATAATATAATATAATATAATATAATATAATACAATACAATACAATACGATAAACATTTGTATCTTTATCTTTATTTATCTTAGTGCCCCTGCTTATACTAGTACTAGAGTTCACTTGCATTTAAGCTTTTCAGTAATGTAATTACTAAATTACTTGCGGCGTGAGAGCCCCTGCCAAATTTTACATCCAGCCAAAGTCACAAGGCCCACTGCCTTAATTGCAATCCCCAAATGACCAAGTGCACCTACCGTAGAAGCCACAGAGCCCACTGCCGCGGCAACGGAAACACTCAATTGACCTGCTCCATCTATTAAATCACCCATTTTACCTGTTGTGTCTACCACATCACCAAACCTATTAATTCCTTCAATCGCAGCACCGATATTCCTTGCGGTACGATAATGAGACGATGGTGCTGCATCATCAATACCACGAGGATCAGTTCTAACTGGCCTCACGGCCGGATCCTGTAATTAGGGGTAACAAAATTAGTTCATAAAAACATAATTTTGAAGGGATTTCATAGCTCATTTTAATGAATGTATAAAAATTCATTAAAATTACAATAAACAATAGCAGTTTAAATCTTCAATTCGCCTCTCGTACCTTCGTGTACCTGTACAACATGTAACAAACCTCTTCAAAAGTGGGGAGAGGACACTTTGATGATATTGTTTGCTTGAAGGACGAGTATCCACTCTTTTCACAGAGAGCCAGAAGTCGCAACACCATGTTTGAATCTGATATGGGAATGCCGGCTGCCGCAAGAGAATTGGCTACCATGGACTTCAATTCTTTCACAAAGGACTCGAACTCGAAGGTCTCCATATCCCCCTTCTCGTACCGTGAAATTGAATTTTCAGTTTAAACTACGAAACTAGTAAAGAACTAAATGTTATGAAATAAGATGAAACAAAGGGAGTATTATAAGGTCGACGAAAATATCACGAAAGTCCAAAGAAATTTACAACTTTGAATTGTTCAAAATCTGAAATTTGTGGTTGAAATTAAATAAGGGTTATTTAGGCTCTTTTGATGGTGGCTTTTAGTTTTTGCATGAATTACTTCTATTTTGGGGGTGATTATTAATTTTTGTCCTTCAATATAATGGTTTTTGATTTATGTGTAGTTGCTCCTTTAATAAAAATTTTTGAGTCAAAGTATCATTAATTATGACCTTATAATGTAAGGACGAGTTTTGTTGTTATTAAAAATAGTCGTAGTAAAATCCAAGGTGTTGCTAATTGTCTAAAATGGGTTATTTAGTAGGGCTATGGTTTATGAATAATAAGTAGACAATTTTGGATTTTGTCCAAATGAATATAGTTCGATAAATACAATACAATAATTAGTGGATAAAAACTAATTTTAACGCGGTGCTCACATTAAACTAAGCTTTCTAACCTTAGTAATTAGGAAAAACTACAGAATATGGCAAACATCAATATATATTTAAAACAAATAGCTACAGTTTTTTTTTTTTTTTTTTTTTTTTTAT